CAACATTCCGGACTATTAAGAAAAATGAAAAAGAAATAAGAACTGCAACTGCTGCAGGATCTTTGACATCAGCAAAATGTGCAGTTCGCCCCCTTCTGCCCGAGTGTCAATAATTCAGAAGATGAAAAAGGCACTCAGCATTTGGATTGATGATAGCTCCAAGAACATGGAGAATCCTCTGTCAACCCAGATTTTCTGGCAAGTAAAGGTTGTCTCGAAAATTTCAAAAAACGTCTTGCAATTCATAGCATAAGAATTCAAGGAGAATCTGCATTGGCTGATTATGAAGCTGCTAGGATGTTGATTATGAAGCTAAAGATTGGCTTTTAAAGTGTTTTGTGCCAAACGCTGAATGTTATTTAAGGCAAAAAAATTTGAACTTCAAGGTGCTATTACTATTAGATAATGCTCCATGTCATCCACAAGCTTTGAATTATCCCAATGCCAAAATACTGTTCTTACTTTATTATTATTTATACATTTAAAACAGATTACATAAGAAGAGCATTACAGTGGATTTTAGATGTAACGGATTCAAAATCAATTTGTAGAGGCATTAGGAGTTTTTTGGAAGCAGAAGACTTGAAAATTGAACAATGCCCTCGTCGAGAATTCAACCACGGACCTCTCGAATATGCACCGAATATATAAACTACTACACAACGAAGACTTGCTAAGAAGGCGGGAGAAATACCTTATAAATTAATGTAATAGAAGCCTGGAAGGCATTTTCAATCAAGCACCGTATTGAAAAAAGTTCTCGATTGATTCTACTGAGCAGTGACAAGGAAGGAATTTATTAAGCTAAAGTTGCATTAAATTAAAATATATACTGTCAAAAGTCGTTAATTCGGACACCCATAATCCGGACCTCAAAGCTACAAACTTGACGCATGCGCATAAGCTCTTTTTTTTGTAAATTTTTATACCCCTTAGATCATAATTGTTCTTTATTTCATAAATTACGGTTTCATATTTTGAATTTTATAATTTCTACATGCCATCTTACCAGATTTAAACTGATGATCTATAATCCGGAATCGCTGAAGTCCCGACGAGTCCGTATTAACGACTTTTGACTGTAATATTTTTTGTTGTACACTGCTCAAAAAAAAAAAAAAAAAAAAAAAGGGACAGTGTTATATCTCCCGTTCTACTGGGCCGATTGACAAAATTCAAACTGCGTTTTTCATGTCTCGAAAGCGTGACTTAGGATATATATTAAATTTATATATAGCACTATTCTAACATAGGTATTTTGACACAAAAGTGGACTTTTTCTGAAATAACATGCCAATGTTTTTCCATATTTCGGTTCTATGACTCAAATTATGCCAGAATACCAAGTTTCGTAAAAATCGTACGAGTAGTTTTTAAAGTATTAGCTCTGAAAATTTTAGCTTCTCAATGTTAATTGAATTTGGAAAATATTTATTAATATCTCTTTTTTAATTAAACTTTTATTATTTTTCCTTTCACATTTCGAATTTTAGGTTTATTCCAAATAAAATTTACCCATTTTTTGTGTTTTATTTTTTAAATTTCTATTTTTAAATAATTTTTATAAATTTTTCGAAAAAAATTTTGAATTATAACCTATAAAATGTTTACCAGCATCTTAAAGTAGGTTTTGTTCTAAGCATACCTGCAAAAAATTAGACTTTTTTATTGAAAATTTTCTAAGATATACATGAATTTACATATTTTCGCGTTTTGAAATTTGGCATCTTTTTTTGAGCGATAATAACGCCAAATGTGGTTTTTAGATTTTTGTTACAGTGAATTGCACCAGCTATTTTTAACCTTAAATTTCAAGTAAAATTTTACAGAGAATTAATTATATGAAATTTTCCCCCTCAATGATACATAATAAATATTTATTAATACTATATGAAAAGCTATTTTTTTAAATTATAGATGATATAATTCAAATTTTTAACTAATTTTTTTAAATTATAGATGATATTATTCAAATTTTTAACTAATTTTTTTAAATTTCTCTCTTTATTCCTTTTTTAAAAAAAAATATTTGTAAGAGTAATTTTTGATCTTTGGCGTTTTATCGTCTGCTAAATCGAATTGTCTAAAACTGAGAACTTTAGTTTAATGTGTATTTGAATTTTACGAAAATATTTTATGACATTAACTGCATAATTTATTTCTAAACAAACTGTTGCTTATGAAGTGGCTGAAAGAGCGGCTGATACCATCATCCATATTTTTAAAGTACAGTATATTTTTATAGAAACATAAGATTTAGAATAATCATTTTTATAAATTCATTGTAAATTTATTATTCATTTATAAAGTCAAATTATGATATAAACATACAACCCTCTCTCAAGTTCAATGGTTATGTAGAAATGATCTGCAGCTACTTAATGTCTGTATAACTCAGCAAGTTCTGTGTACAAGTAAGAATAATTATATAAATGACACCCAAATTCTGAATTCAATTAACAACGAGGGTACGATCTTTATTAAATGAATTTAAGAAATTTTTAAACATAAAAAAATTAACTCATTTTTTTATCCTGAAATGTATTTTTATGCATAGCGTATTTTCATTATATCCTTAAAATTATATTTTTTAGAACGTAATTGTCAAGAACTGAATTCTATACATCAGTAATATAATAAGCAATTATTACAGTTATTAATAAATCCGTCTTATAAAGTAATTGCAAATATTTCAAAAAACTTTCTGTCTGAATGCAAATATTTCTAATTTTATATTAATCAAGATTGCACATGATATTCTTTATTTGCAGTTCAATTCTTACTGTCAGCTCTAGTAGAAGTTACAAATCAATTATATTTAATTAAGGAATGACCATCTAAGTTTAGAAACAGCTTACCGTAACAGCAATTCAATTATTGGCGCCATATCTTTCATGTTACTCCCGATTGGCAAGCTACATGATTTTTAATGAGTATTCGGATTTTGCTAGAAACTTCACTTGGAAATTGCGCTTAAACTAGGTCAGTTGGTTATTTGAACATAGAAAGAACATGGGAGCTATTTGGTTAAGATGCTTTCATAGAGAACCTTTGTAAAGAGAACCTAGAAAACTACGAAAACCAACCATGCAGCCTGGGTTAGACTTCGCAACAAACAATTGGTATTTAACAATCTTGAAATGCTAGGCAACTGGTGAGGCTCCAATTAAATTTCCAATATAATATTTTATTTGTAAATATTTAAGATACTGTTGTATTCTTAGACACAAAAAGCAGAATTTAAGTTTTGTTAACTCGTTAGTAAACTACCAAGCCATAGTCCAAATGAATATTCAATTTTTTTTTTGCAATAATTGTATTCACTTAATGTTCTTGGAATATGAGCTAAAGAAGGAATGTTCTCGGAAGATTAAAGAAGTGTTTAAATCCAGTGATATTAGGTTTGTCTTACAAGCTCAAAAATCAAAACAATTGCAGTTGCCCGAGTAGTTGACTTGTAAATGGCTGTGAATTAAGCAGGTGACTTTTAATCTTACGTTATTCAGTCAGAAAACGTATTTCAAATGTTTTGTATTGCATGACAATGTATCTTTTCATTATTCAATAACCAATTGGAGAACCGCTTGTATTCCGAAAATAAGTATGTGTACTCAATAGTCCTGCATGTTCTTCAAATTTGTTTTCTTGTGATTTTTTTTCTTTCCCAAAAACTAAAGTTTCCGCTCAAAGGAAAGTTTTTTGACATTGAAGAGACAAAAGGGGTATGACATCTACTTTTAGAGGCATGTCAAAAACAGATCTCTACAAGCCTTCTCTTCCATTACATGTTGTGCATTTAGACAAAAAGTTAGATCGGTGTAAATTCTATAATGTATTTTTATTACACTCTGATTACTTAACATACCGTGAATATATAATAAACCTTTTACTTCAGCTTCAGTAATTCGGAATTTTTGACGGAATTGTTGTTGGAACTAGGACTTAGAATAGTAACTATGACTAAAAATATAGTATAAAGAAAAGTATTTGGAAAAAAAAAATAAATAAATAAACGATGCGCCTTTGATTTAAACTACGCAGTTCGAATGAGTGAATAGAAATTTTTAAAAGTTATTCGAAAGAAACTATGTAACGTAAACAATTAAAATAAATTCGAAAAAGGAAAAAATTGCTTAAAATTAATAGCAATTATAATTAAAAATATAAGATAAAGAACATTATTTGAAAGAAGGAACAATTGAGTCTTTTTTTTTTCTCTCGCGCACTATTTAAAAATGGAAATGAAAATAGGTTGCTACATATTAAGAAGTTCGCCAAGTGAACTAATTTTGGCACAAACTGAATAAAAAGCACCAATATAAATTGTTGAATTTCTCCGTAAATTTCGCACCAAATTTTACAAAATTTAATATTTAGTCATAATTTGAGTCGTAGAATCGAAATATGGAAAAAATGGGTATGTTATTTCAGAAAAAGTCCGATTTTATGTCAAAATACCTATGTTAGAATTGTGCTATATATATATCTAATATATATCCTAAGTCGCACTTTCGAGACATGAAGAACAATTTGAAGTTCGTGAATCGGCCCAGTAGAATGGGAGATATAGCACTGTCCCATTTTTTTTTAGCAGTGTACATACATATATATGTTTAATAAAAATTCAGTTGTTTATGTTTGTTTTTAACAAGTTTTCGGAACACAACCCCCCCTTTCTATACTGGTTTTGCATCTCATACAACATGGCATTTTCTAGGAACCTATCTACCGTGTTATACGAGGTTTACCTATACTAAAGTTTTAAAATTTCTATTAGTTACTGATTGATTTACTAATTTTTTTATTGTGAAGAATTGTGCATTCTGCATATACACCCTGATCAGTTATTCAAAATTGCTGATAAGTTCAATAGAGAGTGTAGTATAATGTTTTTAAGATCTCTTTATTATTTTCTTTTGCTTATTGCTTTTTGTTCTTTGCTGATTAATAAATGTTTGGTCATTTTAATCATTCAATGATTTTTTTTTTTTTCTTAACAGGCTGGGATATCTCTTTTTACTCTTGCTTATATACATATGACTTTTGTGCAAGTTCCAGTCAATTGCCTGGGAAAGGAAACTGAAAATTGGTCACGGGAAGGAATTCTACGTGTAGAAATATCTCTTGAGGAACAAGTGATAGAGCCTGTTGATATTTCTAAGTACTGTAATAACATGTCACCACCACCTGTGAAAAATATTCCAAAGTTTCCAAAGGAACAAAAACCTCCTATGAAGTTAATTGAAAAAAATGATCTTCATAAACCTGAAGATAAAGTTCCAGAATTTGTTGTTGAAGATGCATTTCAAGATCATATATTAGATGCCGAAAAAGCTCCAGAATTTATTAATAGAACCTTGCAGTTTAAAGATAGTGTTTCTGATCCAGATTGTTTGTCTCCATTAAGGACCATTCTGTCTGATATGGAAATGTTTACAAATGCAGGTATTTTTCCTCCCAGTTAAGTCATTGTATTTAAGAAGTTGAATTATAATACAACATTATTCAAAATGATGTATGGTATTTTAACATACTAGAATTAAGTCAGTTATTAACAAGCACTTACTTTTGTTATTATTAACAACCCCCTTCTGAAAAAATTAAAGGAAAGGGCAACTCAAATATTTTTATTTTATGGCATTCTAAGTGTTCGATGCGATTTCCTTGAGTCACACAGACAGTGTCTAGGCAGTAGTCCATTTCTTCCCATAATTGTTTAAGCCTGACTGGTCTTACTAAGTTTAGAGTATTACCAATGTGTGTTTGTAGGTCCTCCTAGTTGCATGTCCAGTGACACTTTGTTTTTTATAAAGCCCCACAAGAAAAATCTCGTAGGGTAATGTTTGGTGGCTTGGGAGGCCTAGAAAACATTACTTTGTAGTTTGTTCCAACATGTTCAATTCAGTGATTAGAAATCACATTGTTGAGGAAGTCATACAATTCCAGCTTCTAGTGTAGGAGTATACTATCTTGCTGAAGAAATTATTTGAGTCTTTCTGTAACATATCAAGATATGTGTTGCCATTCACTGTCTCTTCCTTGAAACAGAATGACCCACACAATTTGGCCTCTGAAAATTGTATAAAACACTTTAACTAAATCTTGTTCATGTTTCATGGTACAGTGAGGGTTTTTTGTTCATAAGATTCACACATTGTGGCAGTTAACTTTTTCATTGATTTGGAACATCACCTTGTCACTGAATAAGAGCGTAGGAAAAAAAAAAAAAAAAAAAAAAAAACATTCTCAAACTCGCATTTGTCCTGCATGTTCATGCAGAACTCCATTCGTTGATTCTTGTCTCTAAAGAACTATAGCAGATATCCTCATTAAAGTAAGTGGCAATGTTCATCTTTGCTGCACATTATGCATATGTACTCACCATAGCACGAGAACGAAAACTTGAACTTTTCACCAAGACTTTACCACTTACTTCTCATATTATTTTTGCCTGTTCATTGTCAAAGTCTGATATCAGCTTGTGTGTGTTAATGTTTAAATGTTTAGTCTCTCATGAGATGTCATTTCCTTTTTTAAATGTTAAATAAAGTTAGATTTGACGTTAGCTGAAGTTTTGTGATTTATAGGTCTTTCTGATGGAGTCTACTGGCAAAAAAACATTGCCATGTTTGGTGATCTGGACTGTGGCAAAAATCTTCACTGAAGTGAGTGACAAAGTTCATCTTTGCTGTGCAATTTGCATATGTTCTCACCATAAAGCTTAAGTCATTTGCAGTCATTTTCTCAAACTGTGCAACGTTGTCGTTTACGGAAGTTCCAGTTCATAACTCACTTCATTAGTTGATTTCTTTTAGCTGCTGAGAAATGTCACTCTTATTTTTTCTTCATTTTCACTACTAAGACGTAGCCTCCCTGTGCTTTTGCATTTGCAAAGACAGCTTCTTTCTTCAAATTGGTGATACCACTTTTGAATGCTTTTGCCCTGTCAGGCTGTCTTTTCCAAATCATCTACGAAACTCAGATTGGACCTAAATTAAAAATTCCGATTTCACATACTGCAATACACAAAATGGCTTCTTTTCCTGAGACACAATTTTTCACTTTAGCAATTGCAGTGCCACGACACCTTCCATACTCAATACAGGCTGCCGGGAAAAGAAAATGTTTGAGTTTTCATTTCTTTTAAACCCATTCTAGTAAGTCTCTGATTAAAAATGAATTTATTACAGTCTTTTAAAATACCATACATCCTTTTGAAGAACCCCATAATATCTGATAAAGATTTGTGTCTCTTATTAAATTTATGCTAATAATTATATTTGCTGCTTGAATTGTCTTCATGTTTGTGACCTTATTATCCCACGCAAATGCAGATTCATATATGTTATTTTTTGCTGTTTCCAAATTAAGTTTTAACAGCTTACTTATTAATCAGAAGCCTTATTAATTACAAGCAGTTGATTAATGCATATTATACATATGATATATGCTGTATACATACAACGGAATGATTTAAAAAAACAAAATATGAGGCAGATAAAGTATATCTGTAATAATGTATTATTTTCATCAGATTTTGCTCATTTGCTTAAAAGATGAATCATTTGTCTATCAATGCCAACATTAGTATTGCTATTTAGATATTCTTGTTTGTAAATTGTTTCAAATTTTGTATGAATTATCAAAACTAAAAAATCAGAAATTGGGGGGGGGGAATGTGAACAAATTAATTTTCATTTATAGATACAAAAATACACACATTTAAGACAAAGTAGTGACAATATGATAATTTATAATGGTAGACACTACTATTATGGTTGCTTCATGGGAAATTACTATGTAATGTAGTGAAATGTCATTATTCTCATAAAGTATAACTAGTAATTACCATAGACTATTGCATTCATACTCATAATACAGGATGACTAAAAATTCCCTGCACAAATACTGATACATTTCAGCACACCATATTTCAGTAGGAATGTACTTGCATATCCATAAATTCCACTCGGAGATGCTAGAAGTAAATAAATAAAGGTAAGTGAAGGACTGAAAAAAAAATAATAATAATACATTTACAGTATCACAGTAATATGGGTATTTTCTGAATGCATGACTACCAGAAAGTTGTGAACTTGTTGCTGAATTAGGAGAACATTTGTGACTTCATTGGTGACTAATTTTTCTCCAAGCTCATACACAAAAGGCAGTATCATTTTCAAAATAGCAGTGCACTAAGAATTTAATAAAAGAGTAATAAATCAGTAAAACAAAAAAAGCATGAAACATTGGTAATACAATTCTTACTTTCTTTTTTTTTTTTTTTTTTTTGAGAAATCCCTCTTTTTTTTACTGTTGTTTTCCTTATGTACACAGTGATGTGTTTTCCCTTTAAAAGAACATCAAAGAGTTGCACAAATTTTTTGATCTCAACAACTTTGGCACTGCACACTGGCCAAAACAAGCATATGTTCTTCTCATGCCTGGATTGCCACATAAATACTTTGTGCCAATATCATGAGTTGCCACATAATTATTTTGGCAACATTCTGTTTTGCCTCATGAATACATTTTCATGACTTTTCAGTGGGGATTGTGGGTAATCTGATAGTATTGTAAGTTGTACACATAACAAATTCATAGATGATATTTTCTTCTACAAGCATTAATAAATACCTAAAAATTTTGCCATATAGATCAGCAAACTTTTTCATATATTGTATGGTTAAGCTTGGATACATGCAGGTGTCTTAATAATTCTTATGACAAAGATAGCATCATATTCAAAGGAGGTCTTGTAGATAAAATTTTGAGGTAATCTTAGAGGAAAACGTCAGTGGAGACATATTGGTTGGCCTTGCGGGATGATTTTACATTGGCCATAATGTACGGTTAAGCTTGGATACATGCAGGTGTCTTAATAATTCTTATGACAAAGATAGCATCAGATTCAAAGGAGGTCTCGTAGACAAAATTTTGAGGTAATCTTAGAGGAAAAAGTCAGTCTAGACGTATTGGTTGGCCTTGCGGGAGGATTTTACATTGGCCATAATGTAGGAAATATTTTTCAGACACTTTGCCATTTTGATACTGAAATGCACATGAAATCCATTGTGTTGAAATTTCTAGTTATAATGAAAAAAATCAAGAACTGCAGTATTTCTGGCAAGACTTACAGGATATGACGTCACGAGCGAGGGCAATCATACTAAAGCCATCTTCAAACAGTATGAGCGTAAACAGAGCTTACGATTAAGCTAGAAGTTATATAGCAATAACTATTCCTTAACTATAGTAAATTTAATTTTTAGCAAGATGTATTGAAAGTTAAGTTTATTTACTAGCTCACTTTAATGTTTTTCTTGACTTAATTCTGTTTGACTTGTACTTCTTAAAAGTTAGTTCGTGATACAAAACAAATTGATGAAGAGATTCCTACCCCATTTTTATTCATGTTAGAACATGAATCATATTTATTACATATTTATTACATTATCTTCATATTTATTACATATGCCATAACACTCATATTAAATATTATAATAATCCAGTAAATTTCTCTTGTATTTTTTCATTTTCAAACTTTGTATCAAGCACGAATCTTGTAATTTTTTATTAGAATAATTTCTTCTAAATTAGACAATAATAATAATAATAATAATAAAATTCTTGAAAGTTAAATATTGAGCTTGAGCTTGTACATATATTTTGTACATTCACCAAGTTTAAATAGGGGTGTAATAATTATAGTCTACAGCGTATTAGTTATATAGTATTAAATAATTCACTGTAACTTCTTTTTCCTTTAGTTATTGTTTAATTAAGGTGTATAATATTGAATTTTTACAGATTACAGTGTTAATTGAATTTTTACAGATTACAGTGTTAATTGAATTTTTACAGATGCCGTGAAAATGTAGCGTTCTGGGATGCAAGTCAAATTACTTAGCCAAATGAACAGCATATTACAACTTTTAAGTTCTCCAAAGATGAACTACTGTGTAAAACATAGATTAGTAAAATCAATAGGAAAGACTTTGCACCAGGATCATGTGCTTGTGTGTGCATTTTGCATTTTGATGAACGTTTCATCATAAGAGACGATAAAGCAATACGACCTAATGCGACAGTACTAACACTTCAAAGAAAAGTGCCAGCTTTGTCAAAAGATGCATATCCAACTATTTTTTTTATGGTCAACCGAAATATATATATATTATCTTGTCCTTTAACATAAAAGTGAAAGACACCAGAAGACAGAACAAGAGAATTAAAGGAAAGCTGTGAAATTAATTTTAAAAAACTGTGTGCTGCAGATAACATTGTCTCCTTTTCAGAATTTTTGAAACTTTACAGCAATAAATTATCAAATACATGATTAATAATGAAAGCATCTGATTACCTACTTTTTTTTCGCGTATTGAGATGGAATATTGCCCAGCAGTTACTGTCTCATTTAAAGTCGAGCATGATTTAACTGTTTC